CTGGTTGTGTGTCATGGATTGAGTAGGTTTGCATGATGAAGAATGGACATAGGCTTGGGTAGTGGATGTGGGTGTAGGGGAGTGAAGGTTTGATGAGTGGTGAGCCACCTTCTGAGTGAGTTTAAATTCTGCAGGGCCATCTCATACAAAGCAGAATTTCCCTCTGCACAAGGCAGAATTCTGACCATGAGCCAGCATTGTTACATAACACCTGCTGATATTCTGCATTCATCTCTGTCATGTCTTGGTTCATTCTGACTGGGGACAATCAGCATTCAAAGTCCCCAGGAGGTGTAGGGAGCTGTATACTCCCTGAGGCTGAGACAGGAATCTGTCACTAAATTCCACTGGCCTCTATGACAAACCCCTGTTGCTCTATGCCTTCAGATGCTTATGGAATTCTTCCTGCTTGTATCCTCATGTTTCCTCCCAAACCCTGTCACCTTCAGAGTTTCTCCCAGCCTTCATCATGCCACCCAGTCATCAATAAGCTGATCTGGACATCCTGCATTCACCCAGAGTCATCCAGAATTTAGTAGCTGAGCCACCACCCAGCCACATCACCACTCATCCATGTCAGTTGCATTCCACAAGCTGGACTTTTTTTTTTTTTGGTGGATGTAGATGCTAGGAAGGCAACTGACTAAGTCAGCCCCTAAGTAGCACATTGGGATTAGGGGTTCACACCCAAGAATCATATTGGACATAATCATATAATCATAAAACCCATAATATCACCCAGGGGAAATGCTTGATGCACACCAGTTAAGGTAGTGTGGGACTCCCCACCTCATTGGTATCTATCTACCATGCCCTGGAGGATGCCATGGTGTAATACCCACTAAAACCCCTGACTTCCAAATCCAGTTGTTTGGAAGGTTTCTTTCATTTAGCAAGGTGCTGTGCCAGGTTTCAAGAACAGTGTCTTGTTTTATAGCTTTATTACCATAGCATTTAATATCTATTTGTAGACAGTCAAACTTAAGTCTCAGATTAATGGCATGAACCCATTTGTTATGGATTTTGTTGTGTGTCAGGATACTTTCAGTTGTTCCTTTGTTGATTACCCAGTCACATCATAATTTCTATATTAGGTGAGCAGACTCCAGGACTAGGATTGTGAAGAGCCAAGATTCCCTGATTTGTCATCATCCATTATGACAGAAGTCTGTGAGACCAGCACCAAGTATCATCCCAACACTTATGGTGGGCCATTGTGATCCATGCATTGACCATAGGTGTTCTGCCAAGGGCCAGATTGTAGTGCTAAAAGGTGAGCATGTACATTTGGTCAGGACATGTAGCATTGATTCAGTTTCACTGCATAAGAGGCATGTGCATCTTGTTTCATAGAGTGGGATTTTGAGCTAATATTCACCCATCTTGTAGCATCTATGGAGGCTCTTCTAGAGGAAGTTGTGAATGTTTCTAGGTAATTCTTTATTCCTTATACTTTTCCATATTTCTGACTCCAGTGGGGTGGTTCCCCACAGATACCTCACTGCATGTTGGGCCAGAGCAAGGTTTATTCTCATTTGTCTTCCTATCTCTAGGTCACCTGTGGCATGGTGAGTGATCAGGGCATGATGGAAGATGTGTTGGGTTCCTGCTGCCAGATGCATGCCTTGGATAGCAAAGTGCAAGTTGAAGGATAGGTTGGGGAGGTGAGCACTATTTTGGCTAGATTGGAAGCAGCTGAGCATTTCTTGTGAGGGGTGTTCGCACCCCATGCCTGCAGAAGCGTTTGAGCACTATGTTGGTGCAGCACAGCTACTATGGATCAATATATGTTTGCATCACTACAGTGAAACCAATTTCTGTCTTCATTTCTAGGTAGGTTAATGGTGAGGTTTTTAATGACTGATATGGAACTGATATGGGCTAGCAGAGGTATGAAATGGTTGATTTTTCAGATCAATTCTAGGATGGCATATAGGATGCCAGTATCATTGGTTGCACTTTCACCCTTTGTACAGAATGCTATGTTTTGGAGGTTGTCTTCCATGAAGAAGGCACTACTGCCAGAGATCTGGGTGCTGTCATCATCAATCCTTTGGCTTGAGCTATATAGAACCTCAACAGTGGGGTGGGTTATGGCATCAGGTGCAGTATGCTGGGTTGCTGGGGACTCTGTTCATGGGGTTGAGGGACACATTATGCAGAAAGTGTTTTTGATGGGGCCTAATTTGGTGAGTGCAGGGTTGAATGTCAGGGCCTCTTTTTCCTCAAAGGCTGCCCTGTTGTGAGCTAGTTCTTCTGCTGAAACATTGGGCTTTGTCTGGGAGGGTGCAGGATTTGGCTTCCACTTGTTTGGGATGCACTTTGTTATGTTTAAGGTGGTCTCTATGCATTTGAAGGGTTTCAGCCAGCCAGTTGTTTCATGGAATTCATTGCATTGTGCACAAGTGCATGTGCTTAGGCATTGGTGGGAGCTATCAAGAGGGGTGTGGGCTAGTGTCCACATCTCACCAGTAGTCATGACATTGTGGTGGTCTTGAATACATTGGGCATAGAAGTAGTTGTTTAGTTTTTTTAAGATGGGAAGGGCACCAGTATGGAACCAAATTGGTAGTGACTCAAGCATATTTGGGTGGAAGAATAGCACATCTGGCATAAGATTGTACTTTTTAGCTAATGTTATGCAGTGACTTATAGGGGGGGGGGGGGTAACTTCGAAGGGGATACTGGCCATGATTGGAGGAAGTAGCTTTTTCTGGCATTGGGTTTCAAGGTGGGAGATGGTGCAGTGGATTTGCATAGTAATTCATGGGCAAAGGCCATCCATGCTGGGGGATTAGGTGAGAGCAGCTTTTTGAGCCAAACCATTTCTATTGCTTCATTCTGTAGTTTGAGGTTGAGGATACCCTTCCCTCCTTTGGTGATCAGGGCACATAGGATGTTGAAGCAGAGGTTAGGCTTACCAGGTGTGTCCCATGTGAAGCATTTTAGATGCTTGGTGAGGTAGTCTTCTACATTTCTCAGCATCCCTTGGATGCAAGTGAGGTATTGCATCATAGCACCTATAGTCCATTGTATTATAGTTTTTCTTCCTTTGATGGAGGGGTTGTGGGTATTCCACTTACATAGTCTGGATTCTATCTTTTCAATGATGGGGGACCAGACTGACAGTTTGTGTACCTTGTTTCCCAACCATGCTCCAAGTATGCAAACTGCCTGGCTGTCACGAACTATCTGGGTGCCCCAGGGAAAGACTATGGATGTTGAGTTAAGTTTTGAGGATGTGACTAGCAATTGTCAATATTCCAGAGTGCCAACTGGGATTATTTCTGTTTTGTTGATGTTGAACTTGTAGAAATATCTGTAGGCTACTACAGGATGTCAGTATAGTAGAATACTTGTAATATGAATGGACTTACCCTCAGTAGTGAACAAACTACTGAGGGAATACTAGTAGAAAATACTACAAGTATGTACGCTTTTTGTGCTTATGTAAGCACACTTGCATCACACCTAAGTACCAACAAACAGTGGCACTTTATATTCCAACAGACCTTAGCATGAGAAATTCGCAGTGGTGGTGAAGTGTGCCTGCCAACCATGGCTGGCACATGCACATGATCTGAGAGGCCAGAAACCCTGTGACATCACTGCTGTCAGCCACCATCAGCCACCTCGGCCCCATGCTGGCATTGTCAGCACAGCTGGGCATGCCATATGTGGTCACATCCCATTGGCAATAGCACAATTGAGTGCAATTGGGCTCTGTTGCCCAGCTTGGAAGCTTCCACAGCATCATCTGCATATGCCTATGTACTACATGCATTTACTATGGTCAGACCATTGACTTGAGACCCCCCCAAAAAAATGCTGGCTGTGAATGACAAAATTGCTGTATGATGTGTATGACAGTAATATGTACAGCATGCGAAGACAATGATGACAACATAGTTTAAGTATTAAGGAGAAGAAAAAGACAAAATGATGTTGACCTGGTGCAACATGCATCAATGCTGATCATTGCTGAATTGCCCCATCGAAGGAATGTCATGGACTTCATCAGCAAGGTGACGATGGTGTTCCCCATCTCTGGGATGCTGTTTGCAAGAATCCATGATCGCCTTGAGGAGTCTTGTGTGTCCTAGACTGGCAGCACTTCCATAAGCCTTGAGGAAGGCTTCCTTGTCACCTTGGAATCTGAGGGGGAATGTCATCAGAGATTCAGAGGGCAGGATTTGCCAGGAGGAGCTCAGGAGGAGGTGGCATGAACAAACTGACTTACTCATTGAGAAATTCTGTCACAATGACACCTCACTGGTGGTGCTTTGTATTGAACTGCTGCCCATGCTTCCCATTGCAGTGGTGGTGTGGCCAATCCTTGAGTGGAACATACAGGCCAAGACATGGCTCGCCTTCTGTCCAGTGGCACACTATGTTCCTCCAGGAGTCAGATTTTGGTGTCCAAGTCCCATCGACACACAAGACAGGCACATTTAGGATGCAAAGGGGGACTGAGGGGTGGGTGCTGGTCCTCTGCAGACCAACATGAGAAGGGAGGGATGTCGATACAGAGATATTGATGTCTGATGGCTGGATGACTTGTGGTATCCTGAACTGCATGAGAGTTGGCTGTAAACTGAAGGTGGGTGTGTGGAAATGGGACTGTGCAGCTGGAATGGAAATGGACTGGGTTGCTGGAGGCACTGAGGCCATGGTCTGTGCAGGTGATTGGTGGGCTGATATGTGCAGCTAGTCAGTTGGCATGGTAGAATTGTTATAGCATTTATGGACTCACCAATCACTGGCATTACCTGATGCAACACTGTTTCAGGTCAAGCCAAGTATGTCAAGGGTGAGGTTAGGGCCTTTGTGACCAAGTTGCTCATGTTGCTGAGCTGTTGGCAGACTTCTTTCATGGTTGTGTGCAGCAAGGCCATGTCTGCTGTTAGTGATGTGTGGGCCATGTTGAGTGCCTCGGTGGAGGCTGGCCTGGCAAGCACAGCTTCACCTGCAAATGAACCATTGGCCTCATGTGAGACTGGTCACAGCACATCGCTGTGGTTGTTTTTGTAACAGTGTAATTCATTGAGCAGGTAGCACATTAGCATATCACGCTGTGTTGGTGGTGTGGAACAAAAGAGAAGCGAGTACAACACATGCTGATCAACTACTGTACACCCAGATAGGAAAGAGGGCAACTCACATGCTTGCCTTCCACCCACCCTCCCCACCACCGAACCCATGCAAGGGTCCATTGCTGCCCCAGTGGGGCAAACATGAATCTGTATTGTGCCCTGCCCCAATGGTAACAATGTGTTGAGAACATACCAGGAATCCCAGACCCTGCTACCACTTCATTGATCCACTTCTGCACCATGTCATGGGAGAGTGGCTTGCCCAGCTGCAGCACACCATTCACACCAATAGTTGGAAACAGGAAGTCCTCATCAGCCATCAGCTGGTCAAGATGGACAAGCTCGACCCACCTTATCCAGAACATGAGGCACAGGAAGGTGTCACATGCCTTGCCCATATTGGGGCATGGATAGATCTTATAGCAATTACCTTTGGTAGGAAGAAGATCAGATGTGCATTGCCATGCCATGATGAAGATGGATGGATGCACTTCACAAGTTGGCTTCCCTCATCCCCTTGTCCAGCTTTTTCTGCCATCCCTTTTGGTTTCTCAAGTGGATTTCAAAGTAAGTGTTAAGCTCATTTATAGTGAGTGCGTGTTCCTCACCTCACAGGTATTTCATGAACATGGCATTGATGACAGTCCCATCAAGTTGGACATCTCCATGCTTCAATTTCACCAGTTCATAGTTCTTGTCATGGACTGCTGTCAAAACTGTTGTTCATGTCACATATAGAATGCTAGCACTTGCCTTGTCCAGAGCATGAATGCAACAGCACCACAGGCCAAGTATTTGAGGTGCCATGTGATTGTTAGCTTTGTCTTGTTACTCAAGCACTCACTCATTGGCAGCCCTTGCAAGCCTGTCATCATGAGATGAATATACTGCAATGGGGCATCAAGGGGACATAGGAATTCTGACCAGGTGAGGATGCAATCCATATACTCCTTTCTCATGGCTCCTGAGTGCATTCACTCCAGCCCCTTCAGAGTTAACCTTCGTGCCTGATAGATGCAACAACATCATTGACTTCTGATAAAAGGACTGGGTTACCTTCCCATTGGTGTCATGCATTGTCATGATGCCATCACCTGTGGAATGTTGTGCCCTCACTGTTGGGAGGAACAATGCATCAAGGGTATTAGTCAATGAGTACAGGGGTAAAATGAGTGGTCACAGCACACATGTCTCACCCCACAACATCTTGAATGCTGCTCGAATTCTGTCAATCATGCTCTGGCTACAATTCTCCTGGAATCCCTTCCATGAAAGGTAAAGTGCCAATGCCTTATCTAAGCACCAGTTTGGCACATGCTCAAATGCATTCTTGAAATTGGGATCACTGTAGACTTCCAAGTTGTCTACAGCATGGCTCAGAGCTGATGGTGTCCCCTCTGCTGGAAAGTGGCTCCCTAGCCATGAGCGTGCTTGATGGACATGCCTAAAGTACATTGCCCTTGTCTTTGCTGCTTGCAGGTGAGTTTGCTTGCTGGCTTCCTTGATTTGATGGACAGTATGCAAGCTTGGCAGTTCCTTTGCAGTGGACACCCTTGCCTTCTTTTTTGGCTTGTTTGGGGACCCAGATGAGGTGGGGTACTTGGTAGTTGATGCCTTCTGTCTGGCCATTATGACAGGACTTTAATCATGGACCCAAACTTGACTTCACAATGTGGGTGTTGTGAAGTCATGAGCACAGGGGCGTTAGCTACCACATCCAGACATCATTTGTTTCAATTCTAATACATGAGTTGACTTGGCAGAAAGTCTCAACATGTGTGTACTATGGAGCATGCCAAGTCAAGTAGTACTAATGTGTAATGATAGAGTATTGAATGCATATCTGACAGGTTCATAGTAGGGAGGAGAGCAAGGCTCTGCACGAGGGAAAACAAATGACTACAACCCATGACAGTCCCATACAAGGCAGGTGTATCCTTCATCAAGCTTCAGATACCTGTAGTGGGGAGTAGGGCTGCCTGCACAAGGGAAAACGAGCAACTGCAACTTACAATGGTCTTGTACAAGGCAGGTATATTCTTTGTCAAGCTTGGCATACCTGTAGTGAGGAGTAAGGCTGTCTGTGTGAGGGAAAACAAGTGACCACAACTTACAATGGTCTTGTATGAGGTAGGTATATTCTTTGTCAAACTTTGGATACCTGTAGTGGGGAGTAGGGCTGTCTGCGTGAGGGAAAACAAATGCTCATGATGGTCCTGTACAAGGTGAGCATATTCTTCGTTAAGCTTTGGATGACTGTAGTGGGGAGCAAGGCTGTCTGTGTGAGGGGAAATGAATGATCAGGCTTTGCATACCTGCAGTGGGAAGTAAGGCTGTCTGCATAAGGGGAAACAAACAGCTGCAACTTGCAATGGTGCTGTACAAGGCAGGGGGATTCTTTGTCAAGCTTCAGATACCTGTGGTGGGGAGTAAGGGAGTAAGGCTGTCTGCATGAGGGGAAATGAATGATCAGGCTTCATATACTGTAGTGGAGAGTTAGGCCATCTGTGCAAGGGAAAATGAACAACTGCAAAGTCAGTTTAGGAGTAAGGCTGTTGGCACAAGGGGAAATGAACAATTAGGCTTCACACACTGTAGTGGGGAGTTAGGCTGTCTGCACAAGGGAAAATGAACAACTGCAACATACGATGGACCTGTACAAGATGGGCATATTCTTCATCAAGCTTCACATACCTGCAGTTGGGGAGTCAGGCTGTCTGCACAAGGGGAAATGAATGGTCAGGCTTTGGATACCTGTAGTGGGGAGTAAGGCTGTCTGTGCAAGGGAAAATGAATGACTGCAACACACCTGTATGACATGAGGTGAGCGATCAAGCATTGAATACCTGTAGCAGGGAGTAAGGTTGTCTGTGCAAGGGCAAATGAACAACTGCAACACACCTGTACAAGGCAAGCACACTCTTTATCAAGTTTTGCATACCTGTAGGGGGGAGCAAGGCTGTCTGTGTGAGAGAAAATGAATGACTGCAGCTTGCAACAGTCCTGTACAAGGCAAGTGTATTCTTCATCAAGCTTCACACCCAGGGAATTGTTATCAAGACTGATCTGGAGGACTCTGGGAGGGAAGACCTCCTACCTCTGAGCCCAAACATACTGAACCTCTCCACATACAACTGAATGAGGTTTCCCAACAATTTGTACACTGCACTGTCACATGCCTTGATGAGACATCATTGGATATAGCCTGTCTCCACTGTTTTAACATTGGTATCAATGGGCCTTCCTCAGGGCAATGATGTGACTCACCAATTGACCCTTCTAGCATGATCAAACACCAGCTGAAGGAGCTGCAATGACTTAAGGTGGATCTTCAACTCCATTTCCTCATCTGGGAGGGTGAAGAAGAATTTGACAACCATGGAGTCTTTGATAATTGTGGATGTAGGGTTGGGGTCATACCAAAGTCTGAAGCAGTGTGTAAGCGAGCTCTTGCTGCATGTTCTTTGCCAGCATCCTGTCCCAGGTGATATCAGATTTCAAGTATATGGAAAGCAAACATGTTTTCGATATTGGTGGCAACATTGATGATATCTTTCAGATGAGGTCCATCAAGTGCAACATTTTTGCTGGATACACCAGTGTAGTGGAAGGTGTTAATGATCATCTGAGTAGCTGGTTCACCAACAGATTGTACAACAGGTGATTAGTTGAACTTTACCTCAATCTCATCCAGCACCCACTCAAACGGTTCATGGTTGAGGTGGAACTCTTCCAACAAGTGGTAGGCAGCAGTTGTGGCTCATACCTGCATGTGGAAAGTGTTTGCCTGTGCCTCCCCACCAAGTTCATTGTCACCCAGCACAGCCAGAAGCCTCTCTGTGAGTTGGTGGACTGCATCAATAATGATGCTAGTTTGAGGTCACTAGGCTTGTGGCAGTCGATCAGGAAAATCTGAGTGGCATTCTAGATGACACAAGCAAGTTGACAGACATATAGTGGGGAGTAAGGCTGTCTGCATGGGGGAAATGAATGACCACAACTCAGGTGTGGTAAGAAGACTGAGGTGCATGAGGAAAAACTAACTGCCTAAGTGCGAAGAATTATTATGTAAGCTTGTACACTGTAAGCAAATAAACATAGGGGACACATGTTCCAACAATTTTGTCATATGCTTTTTCTTGATCCAAGGTGATTATAGTGCCATTATCTTCTGTAGCTTTAGTATAGTGTAATATCATTTGAGTAAGGCATATTTGGTCTGTGATACTATGGCCTGGCAGGAAGCCTGCCTGATTTTTGTGGATGATCAGGGGAGCTGCATGTGCAAGTCTTATTGCGAGAATTTTAGTAAATAGGTTATAGTCTGTATTTAGTAGCATTATGGGTCTGTAGTTGGTGATCTCTCATCTGTCTTTTTTCTTATAGATTGGGCAGATCCAGCCTTTGGTGAAATTCCTTGCCAGGTTGACCCCATGGTGTTGGATGTCATTGAAGACCTTGACTAGGCATTTTGAGAGGCAGAAGTTGTCAGGCAACTCTTGTTCTGAGGCTTCATCACCATCCAGGGGGGGCAGGGTGGCCAACCACTTCCAGAATTTGTATGGTAGGCTGTCCAGGCCTGCTGCTTTCCTGCATGATAAGTGTCATAGGGTCATGTCAATTTCAACCTGTGAAATGTCCTTATACAAGGCCATAAACTCCTCTGGGAGTCTAACATTGATGTTTGAAAGAACTTTGTCCATTGTCAATGTGCACTTGTCTGGGGGGTGGAGATCCACTTGTTGTAGGTTGTTGTAAAAGGATCTTGCTATGGAAGCCATATCATCTGGCCTTGAGTGGTAGCATGGGTCTTCAGTCAGAGAAGATGGGTCATGTAGTTCAACTATGATGTCTTTGGGCTTGACATCTCTTCCAGACTTTGCCCATAGCTTGCTTGTAGGGGATTCACATTCCAGGTGTACCCTGAGAGATGTATGGTCTTGTATATTCACATGTCATATTTGTCTTAGGTGCATGATGTCCTCTCAGAGTTTGCAGCTAGCTTGGAGTTTGGTTTCATCATTGAGGGACTAGTTATTCAGAGTCATGTGGAGCTTTTCTTGTAGGTTGTTTATCTTTTTTGATAGGGCTGGTATCATGGAGCACATGCAGTTATGCAGTATGCATACAGCTGTGTCTTTAAATGTCTTGAAGAGTATCTGCAGGTTTTGTTACAGTGGTGCCTCTGCACCTCTGTTCACATTTTCATTTATTCTCCTGTTATATGCTACACTAATATGGTCTAACTTCGCATTCCTACACTATACAGTGTTGTGGTATGTTGTGACTGTTTTTTTTCCTTTGTTTACCATTTTTGTGCACTTAGCAGTTGTGTGTGCCCAGTGTATTTTCTCTTCAGTCTCTGACACTGGGCACAAGGCCTTAAGGCTGGGTGAAGTTAACAGGTTTCTAGTAGTAGAGTGGTTGCATGGGTCATAGGACTTGAGTTTGTTGGATAGTTTTTGTGCTTCCTTGACTATTTGCAGACAGATGTCTTTGTCTTTCAGAAGACTCAGATTTAGGGTCCACTGGCCCTTACCTATGAAGGGTAGGCTCCATTTGGACAGGCAGACTGACACCATATGGTGGTCTGTATGGATGGCAGGTGGGTCTATTTGACCAGTCTTTACAGAAGGGGATCATATTTTCATGAGTGAAGATTTGGTTGATGCAGGACATGCAACCTCCTTGTCTGGCAGACTGAGCAAAAGTGAATGAGAGGTCCAAAGGGTTTGTTTGGCACCATCTGTCCTGTAGGCTGAGGTGGGATTTGAGGGCTCACAGGGCATTCACTGCATTGGCATGATCAGGGTAGGCTGGCATTCTGTCAATGGAGTCTTCTATGATGTTGAAGTCCCCTAGTAGGACATCCAGTTGGGGTAGGTTAATGAGTTTGTCATGGATCATCTCCCAGAAGCTTTGGTTGTCAGATGGTGTTACAGTGGTGCCTCTGCACCTCTGTTGGCATTGTCATTTATTCTACTGTTATATGCTCTGCTAATATGCTCTAAGTTCGCATTCCTACACTATACAGTGTGATGGTATGTTGTGACTGTTTGTTTTCCCTTGTTTACCATTTTTGCACACTTAGCAGTTGTGTGTGCCCAGTGTATTTTCTCTTCAGTCTCTGACACTGGGCACAAGGCCTACTTTGTGGGATATTTTAACAGGTTATGAGCCCCATGCTCTAGAAATTCCCAGACCCATCATACAACACGTCATCCACCTCTGCGCAAATTGTCATCCTGCCACACCCACTCCCTCACCCTCTGTTGCAATTGCCTTGCCTCCCTGTTCATATGTGGTGCCTGTGCACCTCATTTCGCAGTTTGTCCTTTATTATGTTCTGTTCTCACTCTACAGACTTGCAGTGGGCACTTAGCTTCGCTCTAAGTGTCCTTGGTTTACATTTGTTTATTATTTACATCTGTTTATCATTTTTGCGCACTTACTGCTCTGTGCCCAGTGATATTTTCTTCAGTCTCTTACACTGGGCACAAGGTATGTTTCCTGTAGTATTTACTTAAATATCAGTCTCTTACACTGGGCACAAGGCCTTAAGACTGGGTGATTTTATCACTCCCAGCTTTGAGACTCACCCCATCCATTCCCTCCTTGTCTTCAACTTCCAAAAATCACATCTATGGCTGAAGACCAATCTGTTGTTGTTAGTGCCTGCGCACCTCAGACTAATTTCCCAGGTTCCTCACCTTCCATATTAATGATGTGTGCACTTATTTTCCTCAGTTGTTCTTTGTTTGTTCAGTGTTCGCATTTTTACTGTGCACAGAGTATCTTGTTCTTTACTTACTGACTCTATGCACATAGGTGTGTAAAGCTACATAGACAACAATTGAGTTACTGACTCTGTGCACATAGAGTGCTGAGTATTGGGATAACTTAACAGGTTATGAGCCCTGCACCTTAGGACTCTCTGGACACATCGTTTGCCATGTCATCCACCTCTGCGCAATTTTCCATACTCCCTGGACCTATCCCTCGCTCTCTAGCCCTATATTTGTTGCCAGCATCCCCAGAACTCACCCATTGTGTCTGTCCCTTGCCAACATGAGTGAAGACATCAGCACTGCTGCCCACTCCATTTTACAGATAGGATCAGGCATTGAATTCGAGTCTAGTGTCATCCCAGTGACTAGATTTTGCTCCAGGAGGGACTTCACACCAGCCAGGTGGTGATGGGTGAGTCTCCTGTGCCATAGGTCAAAATCCAGGTGCAAAGTGGTTGCTGCAGAGGCATATTCACTGAGGGGAACAGTCTCACGCTCCAGGAAAGCAGAGTTGTTGTCCAAAAGTCTTGCAATGAAGAGGGTAGGGCCAGGGCGCTGCCTGAAGGACATCTGCAAAGAATTGATGCTGACAGTGAAGCCCTTGTTGCAACAGAGATATATCACAGATAGTAGATTATTTTGCAGGTCAGGGACATGTAGGACATTGGAAAATTTGACAGGACAACACTTCTGACCCCCCACCACAGGCTCAAACACTACTGACCCCACCCCAGCTGAGTAGACAATTTTGTTGTCTGCTAGATGCACAGGATGCATTTTTGGCTGTAATTTCGCAGCCAGTGTCGATGAGGTGTCATATGAGAAGTGGCACCTGTATCTGCATTCCAATGCACATCAGCATCGAGCTGGAGGGGGCAGAGAGGAGAAGAGGGGTCAAGGGAATGAAAACTTGCATTTCCAGCAAATTCTACCACTTGGGATGCACTCTGGTTCGATGAGGAGGCTGTTGGTGCTGTCCCAGTTGCTGGGGAGGAAGCAGACAGGGTAGAGGCTTGATTTGCAGTATTGGCACCCTTCCTGTCCTTCTTATTCTTCCTAGAGCGATAATAAGCCTTTGATCTTTCCAGGTTTGGACACTTGTGTGTTAAAATATCCCAATACTCAGCACTCTATGTGCACAGAGTCAGTAACTAAATTGTTGTCTATGTAGTTTTACACACCTATGTGCACAGAGTCAGTAACTAAATTGTTGTCTATGTAGTTTTACACACCTATGTGCACAGAGTCAGTAACTAAAGAACAAGATACTCTGTGCACAGTAAAAATGCGAACACTGAACAAACAAAGAACAACTGAAGAACATAAGTGCACACATCATTAATATGGAAGGTGGGGAACCTGGGAATTCGTCTGAGGTGCACAGGCACTAACAGCAACAAGATGTTGAACCTGTAGGTGCTGATCCAGACCCCATTCAGCCTCCAGCACCTCTCCCAGAACCCCCTGCACCTCCCCCTCACACCCCATCACCTGTACCACCCCCAAGAGCTCCCAGTCCTATTGGAATCGGTGCTAGACTGCCTAGGAGGCACAGACAAAAGCCTAGAGACTGGTGGAAACTCTCTCCTGCACAACTGGATGATGTGGAGGACATGGAAGAAAGCAATGATGAATTGGCCATGTCTGCATCACTCCCTGATGAGCCACTCACATTTGCAGAGGCTATGCATCGCCCTGATGCTGACAAGTGGAGGGCAGCAGCCCTTGAGGAGTTGGCTGCTCACCAGAGCAATGGGACATGGAAACTTGTCCCTAGGCCTCCTGGAAGCAAAGTCATTGGATCCAAATGGGTATTCAAGGTGAAGCGCAATGCTAATGGCTCCATAGACCACTACAAGGCTCGATTGGTCGCCAAGGGATATAACCAGCACCCTGGCTTTGATTACCTTGAAGTATTCACTCCTATGGCTCGCCTTTCTTCAATCAGAGTCATTCTGGCCCTGGCAGCTCTCCAGGACCTGCACCTTCGCTCTATTGATGTTTCCCATGCATATCTGAATGGAGAGATGGACTGCGAGGTGTATATGGCGCAACCAGAAGGGTTCATTGAGGGAGACTCCAGATCCCAGGTGTGCCTGCTCCAAAAGGCGATTTATGGCAGCAAACAGGTGTTGCAATAAATGCGACCAGACAGGGGATTGAACCCTGGACCTCCCAGGTTTTCGACCGGGTGCTCTAACCACTGAGCTATTTGGTCTTTTGACTGGGTGCTCTAACCACTGAGCTATTTGGTCAAGGTATCTAGGCTTACTTGGTGTGGTTTAACCACCAAGTGCTAGTAGGGACTAGCGTTGCTGAGTGCTGGAGTACTACACCTGCAACAACAGGGTGGAAACTGGTGGAATAAGAAGATGCGCTCTGTGCTTGAGTCCCTGAACTTCAAACAGACCTATTCTGATGCCAGCATCTACATCTACTCCCATGACAATGTCACCATCATTCTACCTGTCTTTGTTGATGATATGACTCTCACCTCACACTCTGCTGAAGCCATCGACTCCTTCATCTCAAAATTGAGCCAGCACTTCAAAATCCGTGACCTGGGACCTACCACTCAACTTCTAGGCACCAAAATTGACAGGAACCGCTCCAATCGCTCGATTTTGCTATCCCAGTGCCACTACTGTCTAGATATCCTGGAGCGATTTGGAATGGCTGACTGTAAGCCCATTTCTACTCCTATGGAGCCCAATCTACGCCTATCTTGCCAGCAATGCCCACAAACACCTGAGGAAATCGAAACTATGCCCACAATTCTCTATCTCTCTGCTGTGGGTGCTCTAATGTACCTAGCCACCACAACTCGCCCAGATATTGCCTACACTGTTGGAGTTCTGGCCAGATTTAACTCCAACCCAGGCTGGGCTCACTGGCTTGCTGTGAAGCACCTGATGTGCTATCTAAAGGGTACTCTGGACTACTCCATCACCTATGCACCTGATCACTTGAGTTCTGAGCCTTTCACCACCTTCTCTGATGCAGATCATGGTGGATGCAAGGACACTGGTCGCTCCACAGGGGGTTATGTGATCAAGATGGGTACTGGCACTGTTTCCTGGTCCTCCAAGCTGCAGGGAGTTGTCACTTTGTCCACTACTGAGGCAGAGTACATGGCAGCTGTCCAGGCTGGCAAGGAGATAAAGTGGATGTGAAATCTCCTTCAAGAAATCGGTTTTTCGTTCCCTAACCCTTCTACCTTGCACATGGACAACCAATCGGTGATTTCTGTGGCGAAAAGCCCAGAACATCATGGGAGGATGAAGTAGCTGGACCTCTGCTACTTCTGGCTCAGAGATGCAGTCCAAGGCAACCTCATTTCACCTGTTTTTGTCCCTACAACTAACCAGGCTGCTGATCTCCTCACCAAACCGCTACACCACACCAAAGTCATGGAGTTCTGCAAGATGCTGGGACTTGGCACATCAAGGGGGAGTACTTGACTCTCCAGAGGTGCACATTCTGTTGAGATAACCACAGACTGAGGCCACTTGTGCCCAGTGTAAGAGACTAATATTCAAGGGAATACTACATAAGACATACCTTGTGCCCAGTGTAAGAGACTGAAGAAAATTTCACTGGGCACACAACAGTAAGTGCACAAAAATGATAAACAAAGGTAAACAATAAATAAATGCAAACCAAGGACACTTAGAGCAAAGCTAAGTGTCCACTACATGCCTGTAGGGTGAGATAGAAGTAGGAGAAAGGAAACACATGATCTGAGGTGCACAGGCACCTGATATGAACACATTCAGGGGGGAGTGTTACAGTGGTGCCTCTGCACCTCTGTTGGCATTTTCATTTATTCTACTGTTATATGCTACACTAATATGGTCTAACTTCGCATTCCTACACTATACAGTGTTGTGATATGTTGTGACTGTTTGTTTTCCCTTGTTTACCATTTTTGTGCACTTAGCAGTTGTATGTGCCCAGTGTATTTTCTCTTCAGTCTCTGACACTGGGCACAAGGCCTTAAGGCTGGGTGAATTTATCATATGGTTATCTCAACAATATCCACAGCTTCAGGCCACTGGTGCCCAGTGTAAGAGACTGAAGGAAAACTTCACTGGGCACACAGCAGTAAGTGTGCAAAAATGATAAACAAAGATAAACAATAAACAGATACATACCAAGGTCACTTAGAATGAAGCCAAGTGACCAATGCTAGTTGTTGGCTTAATAGGAGACATAACACAGCAAGAAATTGTTCATATTAGTGTTGCTATTAGTGCCTGTGCACCTCAGACTAATTCCCAGGTTCCCCACCTTCCATATTAATGATGTGTTCACTTATTTTCCTCAGTTGTTCTTTGTTTGTTCAGTGTTCGCATTTTTACTGTGCACAGAGTATCTTGTTCTTTAGTTACTGACTCTGTGCACATAGGTGTGTAAAACTACATAGACAACAATTTAGTTACTGACTCTGTGCACATAGAGTGCTGAGTATTGGGATATCTTAACAATTAGGTTCCTGTGCACCTCAGACTGCATTTTCCCTTTATTTTATCTCTGTCTAACCCTACAGACATGTAGTGGACACTTAGCTTCACTCTCCATGTCCTTGGTTTGCTTTTATTTATTATTTACATTTGTTTATCATTTTTGCACACTTACTGCTTTGTGCCCAGTGAAATTTTCTTCAGTCTCTTACACTGGGCACCAGGTACAGTCCTGTATTACTTTACTCAATAACAGTCTCTTACACTGGGCACCAGTGGCCTCAGTCTGTGGTTATCTCAACAGAAATGTGAACTCTGAGGTGCACAGGCACCTAATGTGAACAGACATCACTGGTTGCAAACTGAGCCGAAAGATCTGCTGCTTGAGTGATGATGAACCTTGATGACCCATCAAAGAGCTGGAGTTGGATAGGAGACATGGGGTAAGGGGCAAACAAATGTTGATTAACAAATTCTTTATCTATGATGCTTCATGTGGAACTGGAATCCACTAGTGTATGAAACTGGGGCAAATTGTGACTGACAATGGAAACATGGGGAGTTAGTGAATTTGGATTAGAAAGAGCAGATGTGTTGAGATGAGCCTCCATGGGTGCACAGCCAGAGTCAACACAGCTCTCAGTCTGTGCAGAGTCCTGAGAGCTGCTACCTATTTTTTTGCCTCAGGGGCAGAGCTCAAGGTTGAGGCCAGTGCTGCCTCAGGAGTGGCTGCAGTGTGAGCTTTGGCTTTCCTGGCTTTCTTGGGACACTTATCTGCAGAATGTCCAGTGCCCCACAGCACATGCAAAGATTGTTGTCTCTGCAATGCTTGCACTGTCAAGACAACCATTAGCTGAGGCCACTTGTGCCCAGAGTAAGAGACTAGAATGTTGCAAGTGTAGTACTCCAGCACTCAGCACTGCTAGTCCCTACTAGCACTTGGTGGTTAAACCACACCAAGTAAGCCAAGCTACCTTGACCAAATAGCTCAGTGGTTAGAGCACCCAGTCAAAACCTGGGAGGTCCAGGGTTCAATCCCCTGTCTGGTTGCATTTATTGCAACATAGTATTCAAGAGAATACTACATTAGACATACCTTTTTCCCAGTGTAAGAGACTGAAGAAAATTTCACTGGGCACACAGCAGTAAGTGCACAACAATGATAAACACATGCAAACAGTAAACAAAAGCAAACCAAGGACACTTAGAGTGAAGCTAATGTTAATATATCCCAATGCTCAGCACTATGTGCACAGAGTCAGTAACTAAATTGTTGTCTATGTAGTTTTACACACCTATGTGCACAGAGTCAGTAACTAAAGAACAAGATACTCTGTGCACAGTAAAAATGCGAACACTGAACAAACAAAGAACAACTGATGAAAATAAGTGAACACATCATTAATATGGAAGGTGGGGGATCTGGCAATTAGTCTGAGGTGCACAGGCACTAATAGCAACACTCCCCCCTGATTGTGCACCTCTGCACATTAAGAACTCCCACTTGATGCACCTAGTCCTAGCATCTGACAGAAGTTGATCACCTTGGCCTTGGACAGTGGTTTGGTCATCAGGTCAGCAGCCTGGGCATCAGTGGGGACAAAAGTGGGCGCAATGAGGTTGTCCTGGACTGCATCTCTAAGCCAGTAGAAGCAGAGATCAAGTTGCTTCATTCTGCCATGGTGTTCAGGATTCTTGGCCACAGAGATTGCAGATTGGTTGTCCATGTGCAGCACAGAGGGAGAAGACAGTGGAGAAGCAATTTCAGAGAGTAAATTTCGAAGCCACTTGATCTCCTTGCCTGCCTGGACAGCTGCTATGTATTCTGCCTCAGTGGTAGATAGAGCAACGACATTTTGAAGCTTGGAACACCAGGAGATTGCTCCAGTACCCATCTTGACAACATATCCACCTGTAGAGCGACCAGTATCCTTGCAGCCACCATGATCTGCATCAGAGAAGGTGGTGAAGGGCTCAGAGGTTGAAGGATCAGGAGAATAGGTCAGGGAATAGTCCAGAGTACCCTTGATATAGCGCATTAGGTGCTTCACAGCCTGCCAATGAACCCAGCCAGGATTGGAGTTGAATCTGGCCAGAACTCCAACAGTATAGGCGATGTCTGGGCGGGTAGTGGTGGCAAGGTACATCAGAGCACCTACAGCAGAGAGATAGGGTACTTGGCGCATTTTCTCAATTTCTGAGGCATCCTGGGGAGACTGGGAGCGAGAGAGGCGAAGATTTGGCTCCATGGGTGTAGATAGTGGCTTGCAGTCAGCCATGCCAAATCTTTCCAGTAAATCCAGGCAGTACTGGCGCTGGGAGAGCGAAATCGAGCGATTGGGGCGATCTCTGTCAATTTTGATGCCCAGGAGTTGGGTAGTAGGTCCTAGATCTCGCAGTTTGAAGTGCTGGCTGAGTTGGGAGATGAAGGAGTCTATGGCAGCTTCAGAAGACGAAGCAAGAGTCATATCATCCACAAAAACAGGCAAGATGATGGAGACACCATCCTTGGAGTATATATAGATGCTGGCATCTGAATAGGTTTGTTTGAAGTGCAGGGACTCCAATACAGAGCGCATTTTCTTGTTCCAGCGATTGCCACCTTGTTTGCTGCCATAGATGGCTTTCTGGAGCAGGCAGACATGAGATTTCAAGTTTCCTTCCACAAATCCTTCAGGTTGTGCCATATAGACTTCACAGTCCATTTCCCCATTCAGGTAGGCATGGGAGATGTCCACAGAGCACAGATGGAGGT